AACCCTAAACCCTAAACCCTAAACTCCAAACCCTAAACCCTGAACCCTGAACCCTGAACCCCGAACCCGCAACTCAAGGGACCAAAAGGAGTGGCCCTTCTAAGGGACCTTAGGGGTTCTGTAGGGCTGATTTGGGGGCTACTTAGGTATATAAGGACTATATGAGGTATATAGAAGCTTTATATATAAGGACTATATAAGGTATTTCTCAGGTATATATAAGGTGTATATATAAGGATTATATAAGGACTATATAAGGTATATATAAGGTGTATATATAGCGGAATAAGATGAGGGGTCACTTCTAGGGGCGCCTCCTGATACCCCTGACTCAACCCGAAACTGAGCCCGAAACCCTAAACCCTAAACCCTAAACCCTAAACCCTAAACCCTAAACCCTAAACCCTAAACCCTAAACCCTAAACCCTAAACCCTAAACCCTAAACCCTAAACCCTAAACCCTAAACCCTAAGCCCTAAGCCCTAAACCTTAAACCCTAAACCCTAAACCCTAAACGCCACATTGCCAGGAAGGAGACGAAGTGCGAAGATGAGGGCGGAAGGAAGGCTTCTTTTACACCGTAAACCATCCCCAGCATCTAGGGCAGGGTTTCAGGGTTTAGGGTTTAGGGTTTAAGGTTTAGGACTTCAATCCTGTACACCCTAAACCCGAAGCCACCTTTCGTTCGCGAGGAACATGCGAAACACAGTCGAGTTTGGAGCGTGACCTGGTTCACATGCTTGCATGGCGTACAAGTTGGCATCCAACAGCTCCCTAAGGCGGAGCGTGCTTGACGATTTAGGGTTTACATGGCATTCTGCCAAACATGCGGGAACATGAATACCCGGTATGCCAGGCATGTGAACATCCTTTCCTTATCCGAGAGACCAAAGGCGAAAATGCTGTTCAAGTATGAGGCCTCTCTTGTAGGGCATATTAGGTTCCGGCGATCGAAGCAGCCGTATCCCGCCCATGCGCATCCACAGAGACCATTCTACTAACGCTGGTTTCTCGCCTTTGAAGACTCACTTAGTTTTCATAGTCCGCGCAGTTGCTTGAAAATGCACTGCTTGTGGCGGCCTCCACGGCGGAAGCCGACGAACTGAGGAAGATTTCTTAGCCTGTTCTGCGCACGTTCCGGAAAAACTCTCGGTTGCCTCAGACTGGGAGTCTTTTGGGGTCTAGGGTTTAGGGTTTAGGGTTTAGGGACTTACATGGTGTGCGTGTCTTTGGGCTTTTCGGGGTTTCAGATGTCCGAGACTTGGGGGGAATGTTGGAGCCTCTGCAGCCGTTCTTTCACAAGCACACTGAACCCGGGCCTGCATCCCAAAACCCTAAGAACCCTAAGAACCCTACACCCTACACCCTGCACCCTAAACCCTAAACCCTAAACCCTAAACCCTAAACCCTAAACCCTAAACCCTAAGATCTAAGACCTAAGACCTAAAAACCCTAAACCCTAAACGCTAAACCCTAAAGTTAAGTGCAGGAGCCGTCGGCTTGGACCAAACATCTCAGACTTGCGGAAGTGTTCGCGCTCTGTGTGGACATAGCTAACCTCATCAACTTTCCGAAAGCTGTCCTACTCAAAAGCGGAGGAAGCATCACATATCCCTAAGCCCTAAACCCTAAACCCTAAACCCTAAACCACAAAGCGTTGCGTCGGTGCGTCGGTGCGTCGGTGCGTCGGTCCATCGGTCCGTCGGTCCATCGGTCCGTCGGTCCATCGGTCCGTCGGTCGGTCTCTGTGTGTCTCTCTGTGTCTCTCTCTGTTGGTTTAGGGTTTAGGGTTTAGGGTTTAGGGTTTAGGGTTTAGGGTTTAGGGTTTAGGGTGCGTTTGTGTTTGTGTTTTAGGGGTCGATTTGCACATGGTTGCAGAAACGCAGCAGGGGCCACGCAGCCATTGGCTGACAAGACGCGGCGTCACCATGATCAAAGCCTCAACCCAAACCCTCAGCCCTAAACCTGAAACCCTAGACCCTAGACCCTAAACTCTAAACCCTAAGTTCGGCAGACCGGTCGCTTGTGCCCGCTTTAGGCTGGTCAGTTGTGCCCGCCTTACGCGGGTCACTTGTGCCCGCGTACGTGCCTCAAATCACAGCAGGGCCGCACTTTGGGCCACCTCCCGCCCCCTCCCCCCCTTCCCCCTCCACCCCCTCCCAAGCACTGCGGCTGACCGTGCAGGGCGCATTGGTCAACAACAGTCGTTTTTTTGCCCCTCGAAACCCGAACCCTGAACCCAGAAGGAACTGACCCGATGCCTTGTGTGGAAAGCTTCCCTCGGGTCAGATGCCTGTAAACACCCAGCCCCCCCCTTCCCCCTTCCCCCTCCACCCCCTCCCAAGCACTCCGGCTGACCGTGCAGGGCGCATCGGGCAACAACAGTCGTTTTTTTACCCCTCCAAACCCGAACCCTGGACCCAGAAACAACTGACCTGAGGCCTTGCGTGGAAGGCTCCCCTTGGGTCAGATGTCTGTAGACGCCCAGCCCGCCCAAGCCCCCCCTCGCCGCCGCCCCCTTCCCCCTCCACCCCCTCCCAAGCACTGCGGCTGACCGTGCAGGGCTCCCCCTGCGGCTGACCGTGCAGGGCGCGTTGGTCAACAACAGTCGTTTTTGCCCCTCGAACCCCCCCCCCATCCCCCCTCCCCTCACCCGTTTCCAGGGCGGGTGACTGGGTGTGGTGTGTGGCGTCAAACAAGCTTATTCTTATCCCCCCCCCCTTCCCCCCGTTGCAGGGCGGGTGACTGGATGCGGTTGTGTTGAGCGCGTCAAACAAGCTTATTCTTGTCCCCCCCCTCCACCCCCCTCCCCCCTCCCTCACCCGTTAGGACTGGATGTGGTTGACTGGATGTGGTTGTGTTGCCCCCCCTCCCCCCTCCCCTCACCCGTTTCCAGGGCGGGTGACTGGGTGTGGTGTGTGGCGTCAAACAAGCTTATTCTTATCCCTCCCCCCCGTTGCAGGGCGGGTGACTGGATGCGGTTGTGTAGCGCGTCAAATAAGCTTATTCTTGCCCCCCCCCCCCCCCCCCCCCTCCCCCCTCCCTCACCCGTTAGGACTGGATGTGGTTGACTGGATGTGGTTGTGTTGCCCCCCCTCCGCCCCTCCCCTCACCCGTTTCAAACAAGCTTATTCTTATCCCCCCCCCCTCCCCTCCCCCCCGCCCGTTGCAGGGCGGGTGACTGGATGTTATTCTTGTCCCCCCCCTCCCCTCCCCCCCCCTCCTCCTCACCCGTTGGGACTGGATGTGGTTGACTGGATGTGGTTGTGTTGACCGCCTCAAACAAGCTTATTCTTATCCCCCCCCCCCTCCCCACCCCCCCACCCCCCCAGAAACGTGGGCACAAGTGACGGGGTACGTGGGCACAAGTGACGGGGTACGTGGGCGCAAGTGACCCGAAACCGCGTGGGCACAAGTGACCGCGATCGCGTGGGCACAAGTGACGGGGCTGCCAACCCTAAGCCCTAAACCCTAAACCCTAAACCCTAGACCCTAAACCCTAAACCCTAAACCCTAGACCCTAAACCTAAGCCCTAAACCCTAGACCCCAAACCCGAAACAGCCGAAGGTCCCAAGTAGCTAGACCCTTCATGAAGGCCGTCCTTTGCGCCAGAAGGCCCTAAACCCTAAACCCTAAACCCTAAACCCTAAACCCTAAACCCTAAACCCTAAACCCTAAACCCTAAACCCTAAACCCTAAACCCTAAACCCTAAACCCTAAACCCTAAACCCTAAACCCTAACCCTAAACCCCCTAAACCCTAAACCCTAAACCCTAAACCCTAACCCCTAAACCCTAAACCCTAAACCCTACCCTAAACCCTAAACCCTAAGCCCTAAACCCTAAACCCTAAACCCTAAACCCTAAACCCTAAACCCTAAACCCCAAACCCTAAACCCTAAACCCCAACCCGAAACCCGAAACCCTAAACCCGAAACCCTAAACCCTAAACCCCCCCCGCTCTCTTACTCTCGCACTTAACAACAAGGACGCGCCCCAGGCAGATGGCCCAAATCTGGGAGGTCATTGGCGGTGCGCAGAAGGGAGGCATCGTGGTTCGCACCTCGAAGGAGCACCTTTCAAACGCGCGAGAGCGAGAGTGCGGAGGCTTCCAAAGGATCTAGGCCCAAAACTCCACAAGCACCAACGGGGGGTTTACGATAATCAGGGACCCCTAAAATAGTAGGATCCCCTTATAGTAAGGACCCCAAAAGGGTAGCCCTAATATCGTAGACCCCCAAACATCCCTTTTTGCCCTAAACCCTGAATGGCGGTGTCACTGCATCAGGTTGGGCTTGGGGCTTTCTGGGTTGTCCCTGTTGTTGCTTTTCGGTGGGAATAGAGGGGGTGCCCGTGGGTGCCTGTAGACCCTAGACTTGAGGTAGACACCCGTAAGCCGTAAACCCCAAGCCCAAAGCCCCAAACCCCCACAACACTACAGCTCGCAACCCTTGACCCACCACCCTGAACCCATAAACCGCCTTCATAATCATCCCCAACCTCGCCCTTCAACCCTCAACTCTAAACCCCTCAACCCTCAACCCTCCTTACTAAACCATAAACCCTAGACGCGAAGCCCTAAACCCTAAATCCTAAACCCTAAACCCTAAACCCTAAACCCTAAACCCTAAACCCTAAACCCTAAACCCTAAACCCTAAACCCTAAACCCTAAACCCTAAAGAATCAGCCCTCAACCACCAATCCTACATCTTGTAAACCCGCAAACCACCCAAACCCTCTTATGCGAAACCCTGAGCCCTAAACCCTAAACCATCTAAATACCCTAAATACCCTAAATGCCCTAAATGCCCTAAGTACCCTAAATACCCTAAATACCCTAAATGCCCTAAATGCCCTAAACACCCTAAATACCCTAAATGCCCTAAATACCCTAAATACCCTAAATACCCTAAATACCCTACATACCCTGACCCTAAACACCCTTGCCCGAAGCCCTGAACCCGAAGCCCGCAACCCCTAAAACCGCCAAAACCACAAGGAGACCAGCTCCGAACCTTTCCCCGAGCGGCTGCAAACGGGTGCCCTCATCCTCCAGCGCGCCAAAGCTCCTCGGGCGACCTTCGTTTTGGGGGTGCTGGGTTTAGGGTTTAGGGTTTAGGGTTTAGGGTTTAGGGTTTAGGGTTTAGGGTTTAGGGTTTAGGGTTTAGGGGTTGAGACTTTAAGAGTTTAGGGTTTAGGGTTTAGGGTTTAGGGAAGTTTAGGGTTTAGCGTTTAGGGTTGTTTAGGGTTTAAGAGCTTAGGGTTGCGGGTTTACGGGTTTAGGGTCTAGCGTTTCGGAGTTTAGGAGTCTCAGATAAGCGTACCTTTTTCGTGGTCCCCTACAATGAGGATTCTACTATTCCGGGGGGTGAATTAGGGTACCCTTATTGTGGGAGAGGGCCATGTGCAGGGGTTTGAGGCTGCAAATATTTGCAGGGTTTTGGGTTTAGGCACCCTTTCCCAGGCCGGTCGTTAGCACTGTGGACCCGCTTAGGTCCAAGGTAGCCCTAAACCCTTGCATTGCTGCGGGGAGGCTTTGGCTTCCTTTTCAGGGCCCCCCCAGGCTCACAAAACCACAAAGGTAGCCAAGGGCCAACAATGAGTATTCTTGCTTCAGGGCTGCAACTGATGTTGAACCAAAATTGGCCCTAGAAGCGCCGAAAGAATTGGCCTCGGGGTCAAATTTGCAAATATGTCAAATTTGCCCAAATCTGCCCAGATTTGCCCAGATTTGCCCAGATTTGCCCGCATGGGCGCTTGAAAGACCAAGAATTTTCATTTTTGCTCCCAGATGCCCCTAGAGGCCTCCCCAGATGCAAACGACAAAAAAACGGTTCTTGCTTCAAAGCCACCCCCCCCCCTCCCTGGTCCCTGGTTTAGGATTTATAGGGTTTAGGGTTTAGGGTATAGGGTATAGGGTTTAGGGTTGAGGATTTATAGGGTATAAGGTATAGGGTATAGGGTTTAGGATTTATAGGGTATAGGGTATAGGGTTTAGGGTCGAGGGTGCCCTGGCATAAGCTTGGGTTGAGCCTCCCATACATTTCGAAGATTCCAAAACCGGTCATAGGGCCGCCAGCCGGCATAAACTGCTCTCCTGGCAGTCGTGGGGATCGCAGGGGGCCTCCAGGCTGCCAACAAAGAGGACCACAACACCTGGCAAGCTGAAAGCTTACAAAAACCGACCACAAAGTGGAGTTTAGTCGAGCCTGAAAATTTACAAAAGCCCACAAAGTGGAGCCTAGTCAGCCTGCGCATTGCCGACGCTACCTTGAGACAATCCACACGCCTTGCCAAGCCATTGAGAGCACACGGAGCGACATTTCGAAAAGGTTGGCTCGTCAAAAGAATGTGTCCCCCCTTACTGCGGGAGGTGCCCGGCAAACTCGTCTACGCAAGACCATGGAGTGAAGTCTAGCAACCGGCTAGAAGCATAACCCCCTTGCTAGGGGTTTGGGGGGTAGAGCACATCCCCACACCCTAAATTAGCGTTTAGAGGCCCTAAAGCCTGAAGCTAACCCCTAAACCCTGAACCCTGAACCCTGAACCCTAAACCCTGAACCCTAAACTGCAAGGATGGCGATCGCTTGCAGTATCAGCTCGTGGAGGGCCAGGCACACGTGTTTCAGGGTTTGCGGGCCCAAACCCTAAACCCTAAACACTAAATCCTCAGCCCTAAACCCTAAACCCTGAACCCTAAACCCTAAACCTTTAACCCTAAACCCTAAACCCCTAAACCCTAAACCCTAAAGTAGGGTTTCAGGACTTCAGGTTTTTGGGAGCTTGGCCGCTTCTCTCAAAACATTAATGAGAGAACAGCTTCTGAAGATATCAGAGGCAGAGTGCACATTGGCCTTGGCAACGGCCTGCCCTGCAGTGCACGCAGCCGTGGGGACATCAGCAACAGCTGATGATGCTGCCCCCTAACCCTAAACCCTGATCCCTAGACCCCAAACCCTAAACCCTATAATTACCCTAAACCCTAAACCCTGAACCCTGAACCCTAAACCCTAAACCCTAAACCCTAAACCCTGGGGGTTTCAAGCGGTTCGTGTGCGTAGCCCTCATCCGAACCGCGAGCCTTAGGCCACAAAAGGGGGGAACCCACGGCCGCGATCCTCAACGGGATCAGGGGTTTGGCTTTAATTGCCCTTCCGGCAAAACTTCCCTGAAATTCCTAGGCCCTGCAATCTGGGCTGAGCACATTCTGTGTGCTAAGCCCTAAACCTTAAACCACAAGAGCTGAAACCCAAGAATCCATACCCAACAACCCTAACCGAACGTCCCTGAACCTCTAAACCCTAAACCCCAAGCCCCAAGCCCCAAGCCCCAAACCCCAAACCCCAAACCCTAAACCCGAAACCCGAAACCCTATCCCCTAAACCCTAAACCCTAAACCCCAAACCCGAAACCCCCAGGCCCCCAAGCCCCTGAGCCCTAAGCCCTGCCCAGGGACCTGCGTCGGGTTGGATTTCCTTTGCAGCACAAGGAAAGCCGTTCCGCGGCTCTCGCATGGGTTTTTGGGGTCTAGGCCAGAGGGTGTAGGGTTTAGGGTTTAGGGCTTGGAACTTCGGGCTTGGGTGTTGGTTTCAAGGCTGTCAAGCTCAGGGCGGTTTAGGGCTCAGGCTTTAAGGTTTAGGCTTGGAGTTTTGGGCTTGGGGTTCCAGAGCGAACTCTATTTACCATTGAATGTATCATTGAATCACTGGATTCCTCACGATGGTACCAAGTCTTTCTTGTCATTTCCTTGGCTGTTTTTGCGCGTGAATGACATGCATGTTTACAAGCAACCTTGAGGAAACTCTATCATCAATCGCTTCTCTCCGCCTTTCCTTTTTTTTGAAAGTATGCCCTCTTAACGCCCGTATTAACATAGCTAAACCTGATTAAGACTGTGTGTGCGTTTAGGGTTTCGGTTTTAGGGTGGAAAGTGTAGTCTCTCAACCCAAGGCTCTACACGCTAAGGAGCCTTCGTCTTGAAGGGTCTGGAGTTCTAACACTCCTAACCCTGCAACGGAGACTCCCTGCGCGCCTACGTCGTGAACTGCCCACCACCCTAAATCTTACTTCCTAAACCCTAAACTACCCTAAATCCTAAACCCTAAATTAGGATTAGTAATCCCTAAATCCTAAACCCAAGGGTGGAAGCATGAGCACGTATTATGGTCCCTTACCCTTCTGTACAGGGATCCGAAGCATGGGCCCTTATTATATGCTGTGTTGGCGCTGTGTTTCTAAGGGTTATATAACAAGGAACCCAAATTTAGGGCCCATACTCGGAACCGTAAATTAACCCAAAACACCCGCCCCAAACCTAAGGCCTCAACCCTAAACCTAAACTTTTAACCATCAACCCTGAACACCTGACCCCTAAACCCTAAACCCTAAACCCTGAACCCTGAACCCTAAACCCGAAACCCTAAACCCTAAACCCTAAACCCTAAACCCTAAACCCTAAACCCTAAACCCTAACAACACAAAGTCGACCTCCGCCCTCAGGCCCTTCTCGTTTTCGACGTGGGGTTTCGGGTTCAGGGGTTCAGGGTTCAGGGGTTCAGGGATTTAGGGTTTAGGGTTTAGGGTTTAGGGTTCAGGGTTTAGGGTTTAGGGTTTCGGGTTCGGGGTTTAGGGTCTGGGGTCCAAATTCGGGGTCGAGAGGCTTTTGGTTTGGGGTTCAGGGTCTAATGTTCAGGGGTTTTATTTAGGGTTTAGTGTTCAGGTGTTTCTGGTTTAGGGTTTTGGGTTCAGGATTTAGGGTTTAGTGTTTGGGGTTTGGGGTTTGGGGTTTAGGGTTTAGGGTTAGGGTTTGGGGTATAGGGTTGAGGGCTTTTGAGCGCTGAGGCTTCTGGCACCTCGCCACGACCTCTGGGAGGTGGTCGGGGGCATGGAGAAGGGTGGACTCCTCGTTCGTAAAGGCAGCGCAGGTGTTTAGGGTTCAGGGTTTAGGGTTTAGGGTTTAGGGTTTAGGGTTTAGGGTTTAGGGTTTGGGGGTTTGCCCAAACTCCTTAGGCCATCAGACCCTTAAACCCTGAGAGCTAGAATGTGGCCCGAACCCAGCCTGAACCCCGAAACCCTAAACCCTATATAAAGCCTACGGTCTAACGCCCTAGAGCTCACTGGTTTCAAGTGTTACAAGCCCAAGCCCTACACTCTCGTGCCTTGACGTTGAGACCCCGAGGGCTAGGGTTTAAGGTTTATGGTTTAGGGTTTAGGGTTTAGGGTTTTAGGGTTTAGGGTTTTAAGGTTTAGGGCTTAGGGCTTAGGGCTTAGTGTTTAGGGTTTAGGGTTCAGGGTTCAGGGTTTAGAGTTTAGGGCTCTGGGTTCAGGTGTTCAGGGTTCAGAGTTTAGGGTTTACACTCGGCCCGAAACCCGTAAGTTCAGAGTTTAGGGTTTACACAAGCCCCCTCTGGCGCCGGGAGGGCCTGAGCTGACCTCGGAGGCGTTGCCCGAGCGCCTTGCGCAACTGGGCCGAGTAATCTTTGTTTGCGCAGGGCTCATTGTTTGGGGTTAGGGTTTAGGGTTCAGGGTTTTTTGGGTTTGTTTAGGGTTTAGTTTTTTGGGTTTAAGTGTTCAGGGGTTAGGGTTTGAGGTTGTGCATCGTTTGGGGCTTAAAGCCTACAAATCTTCCGGTTTCGTCCTTAGGGTTAGGTAGCAGCCTTTGATTTTGGTGTTTAGTTCTTTGGGACAGGTTCGAAAGTGTTTATCACCCGCATTCAGCCCCCCAACCCTGACTTACCCAGTAGACTGTCTGGGTAGGAATCTACAGTTTGTTGAGGACACACCCTCCAATCCTCAAACCCCTAAACCCAAACGTCCTCAACCCGAGCGCAAACCCCCAACCCTTAAGCCCTAAACCAAAACCCTAAACCCTAAACCCAAAGTCCTCAACCCAAACGCAAAAAAAACCCCAACCCTTGCCCCCAAAGCCCCTGAGCTCTTGCGAACCCTAACCCCTAAACCCTAAATCCTAAACCCTAAACCCTAAACCCTACACCCGAAACCCTACACCCTAAACCCTAAACCCCTAAACCCTAAACCCTAAACCCTAAACCCCTAAACCCTAAACCCTAAACCCTAAACCCTAAACCCCCGGAAGCCTCCTCCGGTGCAAGTGTCAGGACCGGTTCATTCGTGCAGGAGCTTCGCCTTGCCTGGTTCGGCTTTTGGGTGCTGAACTCTCCGTGCTGTAGTGATTTCGAGTGTTTCGGTTTTAGGGTTTAGGGTTTAGGGTTTAGGGTTTAGGGTTTAGGCTTTAGGGTTTAGGGTTTAGGGTTTAGGGTGTGGAGTTCAGGGTTCAGGGTGTTGGTGGGCTTGGGATCAGGGATGTCGAGTTTGGGGTTTGGGGTTTCGGGTGCGGGGTTGGTATCTAGTGCAGGGTTTGTGATTGAACCCTAAACCCTAAACCCTGAACCCTAAACCCTAAACCCTAAACCCTAAACTCTAAACCCTAAACCCTAAATTGTTTGGAGTGTAGGTCTTGTGCTCTTCGTTACTGAAAATTTCTCTTGCCCAGAGAACCCTACACTTCCAGAACCCCAACACCCTACACCCCTGATCCCAAGCCCACCAACACCCTGAACCTGGACTCAAACCCTTACTAAACCCTAAACACTAAACCCTCAACCCTACACCCTAAGCCCTAATCCTGCTGCGCCTGAAAAGAGCGATTCCGGTTTTAAAAAATTCACCTAAACCCTAAACCCTAAACCCTAAACCCTAAACCCTAAACCCTAAACCCTAAACCCTGAACCCTGAACCCTGAACCCTGAACCCTGAACCCTGAACCCTAAACCCTAAACCCTAAACCGCTAAACCCTAAACCCTCGACTCTAAACCCTAAACCCTAAACCCGAAACCCTAAACCCTAAACCCTAAACCCTAAACCCTAACCGCAAACCCTAGACCCTAGACCCTAAACCCTAAACCCTAAACTCCCGCACAAGGAGCTGCAACCGCCCAGCGAGGGGCGGCTTCGATTCGCGCGGCTCACGGGCCGTGGTCCGAATCAGGGCTACGTCAGCCTGCAGGACTGCCCGAGGGGGTTTGGGGTTTCGGGTTTGGGGTTTAGGGTTTAGGGTTTGGGGTTCAGGGTTTGGGGTTTAGGGTTTGGGGTTTCGGGTCTGGGGTTTAGGGTTTGGGGTTTGGGGTCTGGGGTTTGGGGTTTGGGGTTTTGGTTTAGGGTCGGGCTTGTATGGGGTTTGGAGCTTGGAGGTGAGATAAAGGGAATGCCTGGGTGCGTCAATGTTGTTCCCTGATCCTTCTCAACTATATGCCCCCATACCCTAAACCCTAAACCCTGAACCCGAAGCCCGAAGCGCTAAACCCTAAACCCTAAACCCTAAACCCTAAACCCTAAACCCTAAACCCTAAACCCTAAACCCTAAACCCTAAGCCCTAAACCCTAAACCCTAAACCCTAAACCCTAAACTCTAAACTCTAAACCCTAAACCCTAAACCCCAAACTCTAAACCCATACTGGGGGGGGCGGAGGTGGGGTGGGGGGGGGGGGGGGGGGCATGTTCAGGCCAGGAGGGGCGGGTGGGGCCGGCTGGCGGTTTCGGGATCCAGGGTAGGGCTTTGTGGACCTTTTTGTAGGGTTTAGGGTTTAGGGTTTAGGGTTTAGGGTTTAGGGTTTAGGGTTTAGGGTTTAGGGTCTTGAGAGGGTTTGGTGGTGAAGGCTTGGTCTTTGGTATGGGTTTTGGCTTGGAGGATGCACGACCCTGAGCCCTCAACTCTAAACCCTAACCCTAAACCCTAAACCCTAACCCTAAACCCTAAACCCTAAACCCTAAACCCCAAACCCCAAACCCCAAACCCCAAACCCCAAACCCCAAACCCCAAACCAACCCGGGTGGAATTGGGGCCTAAGGGTTTGGCGTGCCTCTGCCTGGCTTGAGAGTGTCACTGCGCTGTCCGGCTCATCAGCTACAAATATGCCCAAGACGCACCAGCCCTAAACCCTACAACATACACCCTAAACCCTAAACCCTGAACCCTGAACCCTGAACCCTGAACCCTAAACCCTAAACCCCAAACCCCAAACCCTAAACCCTAAACCCTAAACCCTAAACCCTGAACCCTAACCCGAAACCCGAAACCCTAAACCCTAAACCCTAAACGCTAAACCCTGAACCCTGAACCCTGAACCCTGAACCCTGAACCCTGAACCCTGAACCCTAACCCGAGACCCGAAACCCTACAAACCCACAAGCCGCCAACTGTGAAGGTGGGCGGGAAGCAGCTCCTCAAGAAAGTGGCGAACCAGGCCTCGCCAGATTGCAGGGTGGCTTATAGGGTTCTTAAGGGAGGGTTTAGGGTTTAGGGTTTAGGGTGTAGGGTTTAGGGTTTAGGGTTTAGGATTTAGGGTTTAGGGTTTAGGGTTTAGGGGTACAATCTAGCAGTTTAGGATTTCGAGTTTTCTTGTTCCTAGGTTACGGCCTCGTGAAAAGCTAGAGCATGAGATGCTCTAACTCCCAGGGCCTAAGCCCCGAAGTGTCAAACCGACGTCCTGAATCCTAAGCTCAGGGTTTAGGGTTTAGGGTTGAGGGTTGAGGGTTGAGGGTTTAGGGTTTAGGGTTTAGGGTTGAGGGTTTAGGGTTGAGCGTTAGTCTACAACCCCTAAGTCCTAAATCCACAGCTATCCCAAGTCTCCTAAGCCCTCCTGCGAAATCCTGAATCCCGGAGACCCTGTGTCCCAAAGATGGCGTTGCAAGCTGGGTTTACGGTTTAGGGTTTAGGGTTTAGGCTTCAGGGTTTAGGGTTTAGGGTTTAGGGTTTAAGGGTTGGTGGGTTTTAGGGTAGATTTATCTTAAGGTGACGAAGAGCAGGACTGCCACCGGAAACCTGCGTAAACCCTAAACCCTACACCTTAAACCCTGACGTCGTTGCGCCCATCCAGGACCCCAAGCCTCCGCTCCAGGAGGCCTCGGAAGAGCCTCGGCCGTGTCTCGGCTCAACCCCTGAAACCTGAGCCCTAACCTGACAGCCCTCCTCCTGAACCCTAAACCCTAAACCCTAAACCCCAAACCCTAAATCCTACACCCTAAACCCTAACCGTAAACCCTCAGACCCTCAAACCCTCAAACCATCAAACCCTCAAACCCTCAAACCCTCAAACCCTCAAACCCTCAAACGCTCGAACGCTCGAACTGTAAACCCAAAGCCCCAAAGGCCTTGCAGCTTGAGTCCCCGATGCTCCTTCTTCCCACAATTTCATGCCCTGCACTACCACTGGGTCTTTGGCATGGGCACCGAACCACTTGCCCAACACCCTAAACCCTAAACCAAGAACCCCTAAACCCCTAAACCCAAAGCCCTAACCAAAAGCTCCGAAACCCTAAGCCCCCAAACCCTAAACAAGTGGGTCGGAAAACGAGGCCGGTGCCGAAGAAGCTGCGCATCTTCGCGTTGGCAGGCGGGTGTCGGGACTACTTGGAGGGTTTAGGGTTTAGGGTTTAGGGTTTAGGGTTTAGGGTTTAGGGTTTAGGGTTTAGGGTGGTAGTTCTAACTGGGGTTACATGTAGAGTCCGGGGTGTGGGGTATAGGCTAGCCATAAATGGGGTTATCAGCAAGGTAAAAAGAGTTGTAGGTGGTTACCAAGAGTAGTTGTAAGGCGTCTGCCGGATCAAGTCAGGGTTTAGGGTTTAGGGTTTAGGGTTTAGGGTTTAGGGTTTGGGGTTTGGGGTTTAGGGTTTAGGGCTTGGCGTGCTTGCTTTTTACCAAGCTTCATGGGATTCTACCTCGGACCGCTAAGGTCGTACCCTTGGGTACAATGGGGGCCCTTCTCGGGATCGTCTAAGGGAATGTAAGGGCTATGCTACGGGAACGTCTGATACATCCTGACCCTAAACCCTGAACCCTCAACCCGAAACCCTAAACCCGAAACCCTAAACCCTAAGCCCTAAACCCTAAGCCCTAAGCCCTAAGCCCTAAACCCTAAGCCCTAAGCCCTAAACCCTAAGGGGTCCAAGTTGGACTCCCTTGAGAACGAGGGGTTTGTGACTTGGGGATCAAAGCTTGTGGCCGGAAGTTTGGCGCTTCGTGCTGAGGGCTTCGCGCAGTTTTCGGCCCCTTGGGTTCGGTAATGTTTAGGGTTTAGGGTTTAGGGTATAGGGGTTTAGGGTTGAGGGTTTAGGGTCTGGAGTTTAGGGTTTAGGGTTTCGGGTTGGTGTACTCCAAACCGTGGCTACGCCTCGCCTGAATCGCAAGTGTTCTGGGGTTTTGGGATTTCGAGACATGAAGTTGTAGGGTTGTAGGGCCTAGCAGTAGCGCCATCAGGAGGTCCCTACCCTAAACCCTGGACCCTAAAATGCTGAGCCTCTTCCTAACCAGTTTCCCGATGGCCGTCCAAGCAAAGCACATCCCGGGTCGCTCAAACCTAATCCGAGTCGACACCCTAAGCTACCGTGGTTTGGGGTTTAGGGTTTAGGGTTTCGGGTCTCGGGTTTAGGGTTTAGCATCACCCAGGCAGCATCACCTGCAAGGAGCTGCTGAAGTTCCAGCGCCTTCGCCCGCTGCCTTTGGGGGTCGGTTCCTAGGACCCCAGAGTAGAGGGGTTTAGGGTTTAGGGTTTAGGGTTTAGGGTTTAGGGTTTAGGGTTTAGGGTTTAGGGTTACTAGGACCCAGGGTAGGCCCTCAGTTCCCTTCCTTTTTAGGCTTCAGGTTCCCTTCGCACCCCCTTTCAAACCAGAAGTGCACCTTGTTATTCCCAGGTAACTCTTGGGTCTAGGTTCTGCCAAACATCCCAGAAACCCTAAACCCTAAACCCTAAACCCTAAACCCTAAACCCTAAACCCTAAACCCTATCCCCTAAACCCTAAACCCTAAACCCTATCCCCTAGACCCTAAACCGTAAACCCTAAGGCGCCAAACCGCGCGGCCTTTTGGGGGTCCGACGCCCTTAAGCTGCCACGTCCCAAGCCCTAAGCTCTAAAGCATGATACAACCCCAAGACACAAACCCTAAACAAGCTAAACCCTAAACCCTAAACCCTAAGCCCTAAACAAGCTAAACCCTAAACACACCCTAAACCCTAAAGCCCACAACCTGAACCCTAAATGCCGGTAGCCTGCTCCAAACCCATCCGAACCTTCCCCGGCGCCATGCGACAACCAACCCTGCACCATGACCCTAAACCCCAAACCCTAAACCCTACACCATGACCCTCAACCCCAAGCCCTAAGCCCTAAGCCCTAAGCCCTAAGCCCTAAGCCCTAAGCCCTAAGCCCTAAGCCCTAAGCCCTAAGCCCTAAGCCCTAAGCCCTAAACCCTAAACCCTCAACCCTAAACCCTCAACCCTCAACCCTCAACCCTAAACCCTCAACCCTCAACCCTCAACCCTAGGTGTGGCCAGCTTGCCGCATTGCTCGGCAAGGAGGGGAGGTTGGGGATCCTGCTCTGCTTTCGTGCTGCCTGGGCGGGAGCTGTTTCTAACCTCTGGGGCCCTTTTGGGTACAATCATGATACCAAGTCATGAACAAAGCCCTTTTAACACCAAAGCCCTAAACCGAAACCCTAAACCCTAAACCCTAAACCCTAAGCCCTGAACCCTAAACCCTAAACCCTAAAGCACCCAAGAGGCTAGGCAAACCTCATTCCTCGACCCTACACCCAAAGCCGGGAAGTTGAAAGCCCCAAGCAAACCCTAATCCCTAAACCCTAACCCCCAAACCCCTAAACCCTAAACCCGAAACCCGATTCCCTAAACCCTAACCCCTATCCCCTACACCATTAAAACCCTAAACCCGAAACCCGAAACCCTAAACCCTAAACCCATAGCCCTTAACCCTCAACCCTTCACCCTCCCTAGGACGCGGTGGAGTGGACCTACGCTGAGGGCACGGTCTCCCATTCTTGGCAATTCGCGGAGCGATGGTCTGGGTTCTCTGAAGCTGCGGGGTTCACAGGGTTTAGGGTTTTATTAGAGGCCTTAGGCCAAATGCAGGAGGCTCGTCTAGGGCACCTTGTTTAAAGGGGCAGGAGTATTTCTTTCAGCCCAAGATTTCGACTCTAGCTCGACAGCCTCTCATGCGACCTCTCATGGGTGAGGCCCGTTCAGCCTTCGGAAGGTTTTCGGGGTGCCCACCTCATGTTGCATTGTCTTGATGGGCTTCCTAGCAGGTTTTTTTTTGGGGGGCATTGTAGAGTTTAGGGTTCATAGGGTGTAGGATTTAGGGTTTGGATCCAAAGTCCTTGAACGCATATTTTTTCAGCTCAGCCCCCGAGCTTTGGGGCTTTGAAGGCAAAGCCCCACCCGGCGCAGTAGGAGCAGCTGAGCGACTTCGAGCGGACAGTTGCCAAGAAACGCGGCCAGGCTGCAGCTGGGTTTAGGGTTTAGGGTTTAGGGTTTAGGGTTTAGGGTTTAGGGTTTAGGGTTCGGGGTCTTAGTTTAGCTGATTAGGAGCCCTTGACCCTAAACCCTAAACCCTAAACCCTAAACCCTAAACCCTAAACCCTAAACCCTAAACCCTAAACCCTAAACCCTAAACCCTAAACCCTAAACCCTAAACCCTAAACCCTAAACCCTAAACCCCCTAAAGCCCGTCGTGGCCAGGTCAGGAGCTGATCTCCTGGTATGAAGACATCTACCACTGCAACCAGGACCCTCCTGGGGTTTAGGGTTTAGGGTTTAGGGTTCAGGGTCTGGGGCTTCTTCCGGGGTGCTCCACGTGCCACTCGAAACCCCAAACCGTAAACCCTGAACCCTATAAACCCTAAACCCTAAACCCTAAAGCGTATAAACCCTAAACCCTGAACTGCTAGGCCTTCCTGGGCGTCTGGGGCTTTCGAGGGGCTTAGGGCTTCAGGATTTTGGCAGTTTCAGGTTTGAAGGTTTGGGGCTTAAGGTTTAGGGCTTAAGGCTTAGGGCCTTTCAGGATCCGCCTACTACGTTGGTTCCCCTGTTGGGTTTTCCATCTGATTTCCGATACCCAAATCAGCCGAGTGAGGAGTCGGACAGATTGTGACTTGAACTACTGAGCCTGAGCGTGTGGGTCTCGGCCCGTATGTTTCTAATGTCTCGAAGTATTGTATTGGCTTTGGGGTGGTAGGGTTTGGGTGGATTGGCGCCCTAAAGCCCGCAACCTCCACGATACGGACAAAACCTGAGCCAACCACCCAAAACTTCCCTAGACCCTCGCTAAACCCCAAGCCTGAGCCCTGAAACCCCTATATAAACCCTAAACCCTCAAACCCTACGCCCTAAACCCTAAACCCTAAACCTTAAACCTTAAGCCATAATCCCTAAACCCTGAACCCGAAGCCCCTTAAGCGCCAGATCCTAAACCCCATGACGAACCTACATCGCCCAAGAACGCAGACTGAACACCTCAGCACCTGCTTGGGGTTTGGGGTTTAGGGTTTAGGGCTAGGGTTTAGGGTTTTGGGTTTAGGGTTTAGGGCTAGGGTTCATGTAGGGTTTATGGTTTAGAGCTAGGGTTGAGGGTTTGGGGTTCAGGTTTTTTTTGGAAGGGGGCCTTGCGGCCAGGATCGACCCGTGTTGGAGAAGCAGTTCGACCCCACTGTGAAGGTGGAGTCTGCCCCTTTGGTTCAACTCCAGTAATGATGCCTGTAGTTTAGGGTTTAGGGTTTAGGGTTTAGGGTTTAGGGTTTAGGGTTTAGGGTTTAGGGTTTAGGGATACTTCATTTACTCGATTTTGACTTTGTTTGAGCCTTGTTTTGATTGTGATGGTGTATTTATTCGATTGTGGCGTTGGTTGGCCCCATTTTTGCACCTTCGAACCCTAAACCCTAAACCCTAAACCCTAAACCCTAAACCCTAAACCCTAAACCCTAAACCCTAAACCCTAAACCCTAAACCCTAAACCTTAAATCCCAACTTCGCACCTTAGGCTCTTCATGAAAGCCCTGGATGCTAAGCACCCTGGGGCTTAGGGTTAGTTAGGGGTTTAGGTTTTAGGGTTTGGGGTTTGGGGTTTGGGGTTTGGGGTTTAGGGTTTGGGGTTTAGGGTTTCGGGTTTGGGGTTTGGGGTTTAGGGTTTAGGGTTTGCCAGGGAGGCATACTGGTACCCTTAAAGGTTCCCCTTAATATACTCCTAATATGGCGCTTATGCTACCTTAAGGATCTTTCAAAAGGATCACAATATCCAAGCATGCGACCTTAAGGGTCCAAGGTGGGTAAAACCCTTCGACATGAAAGCCGTTGACCGTAAACATCCAAATCTTTCGGGTTACGTGTGTAGGGTTTAGGGTTTAGGGTTTAGGGTGTAGGGTTTGGGGTTTGGGGTTTGGAGTTTAGGTGGTCGGGCTTAACCCCTGAACCCGCAAAAAAACCTAAACGTTCAGTTCAGTTGGTCTCCACACCGGAGACTTCTGGACGTGGTGTTTCGTCCATTGTGCGCTATGAAAGTTCAGGGTTTTCTGGTTTCAGGTGCTTGGGGTTTAGGGTTTGGGGTTTAGGGTTTAGGGTTTAGGGTTAGGGTTTAGGGCTTCAGGGCTTCAGGGCTTCAGGGCTTCAGGGCTTCAGGTGTTTGGGGTTTAGGGTTTAGGGCTTCCGGTGTCTGGGTTTAGGGTCGCAGGGGCTGAAGTGAGGATTCAAGGGTTTTGGGTTGAGGCGTTGGCCCTCCAACCCGCCCCAAACTTAAACCTGCAGAAGTCAAGACACCCCTTACATGCCCTGCGCCACAGCCGCCCTAAACCCTAAACCCTAAACCCTAAACCCTAAACCCTAAACCCTAAACCCTAAACCCTAAACCCTAAACCCTAAACCCTAAACCCTAAACCCTAAACCCTAAACCCTAAACCCTAAACCCTAAACCCTAAACCCTAAACCCTAAACCCTAAACCCTAAACCTGAACCCTGAACCCTGAAAACCCTGAACCCTGAACCTGAACCCTGAACCCTGAACCCTAAACCCTAACCCTAAACCCTAAACCCTAAACCCTAAACCCTAAACCCTGAAACCCTGAACCCTGAACCCTGAACCCTGAACCCTGAACCCTAAACCCTAAACCCTAAACCCTAAACCCCAAACCCCAAACCCTAAACCCTAAACCCTGAACCCTGAACCCTGAACCCTGAACCCTGAACCCTGAACCCTGAACCCTAAACCCTAAACCCTAAACCCTCATGTATTTCAGGCGCAGGGGTTTTGGGGTCTAGTCTCAAAGGACTGCACGGCAGCCGAGGTAGATATTCCGGCGAAGGTAGCTCTGCTTCAGCGGCGACTCCATGAGGAGAGTTTAGGGTTTAGGGTTTAGGGTTTAGGGTTTAGGGTTTAGGGTTTAGGGTTTAGGGATTCTTTCGGGTTTTTTCGGGGCCTGGCGCAGGGCTGAGGGGTTGACGCCGCAGAGTCTCAAGGCCTCAGCCCTAAGCCCTGAATGGTTGGGGTTCAGGACTACTTCTTCCCGGTCCTCTGGGCTTTCGCGTTCTTTTGAAGATACGTCTCGGCCCACCAAGCGTTTTTTTGCGCCCAGGGGCTCTTGCGTTTTCCAGCCCTAAGCCACAGCCCCAAGGCTCCCGAGGGTCATGTATCAGCTCATGCCAGACGCCACGTGTCAAGATAGTCTTTGGATGAGTGCTGGTAGCTGGAATTAAGAATGCCGGTGCAGTTAAGTTCTACAGGCCACTGACATGGAAGCGCCAACAACACCCCTCGCAGCAAAACACCACCCAACACAAGGAAGCAGGGTATCTCCCATATGTTCCTCAGAAACCCATGAAACTTACTAAGCCCTAAACCCTAAACGCTAAGACCCTCAATCCCAAATCCTAAACCCTAAACCCTTCACCCCAAACCCCAAACCCCAAACCCTAAACCCTAAACCGCATCTCGGCTTTGCAGCTTCCACAGCCCCGCCTTGTTCAGTTGCTTGCGCTCGAAGATGCTGTGCGTCTGGAGGGCTTCTGGGCAACAGGTGGCTGAAGTGCCCTTGACGAGTTGCAGATCTGTGTGGAAATTGAAGAGCCACCTGCAAGCTTTGCATGGCTTCCCTGTCTGCATTCAACGGCTGTTGCACGCGGGCGACATACTGGAGGACTCGGCCGAGTTCAATGCGCCTGCTGACATCCAGCTGGTTCTGCTGCGCGCGACGAGCGTTGCACAGGTGCGACACATGTCGACCGAGCTTGTAGAAAGTGCTGAGAAGAACCGTCTTGAGGTTGTGCGCCTGCTCCTAGGAGCAGGGGCTTGTGTCGACTGGAAGGACGTTCATGGTTACACGGCATTGATGAGATCATCGGCATTAGGCCACGTTGAGGTTGTGCGCCTGCGGGGCTGACAAGAACACCAGGGGCACCTTCCCTCATTTTGGAGGACGCCAGGACCGCATGCTGGAGCTGGAGTTAATTTACCGGGCGGAAATCTACACGAGCTCATGCGGAGAGACTGCTCTCTTGTTGGCAGCAGGTAACGGGCATGACAGCGTGGTGAAGTTGCTGTTGGAAGCTGGTGCTGACACGAACTTGACGGACAAGCACGGCAACACGCCCCTCATTAGCGCATCGGGTAGGGGCCACGTGGATGTCGTGCGACGGCTCCTGTATGCGAGTGCTGGCAAGGACATGGTGGGGCATGTGTCTAGGAAGACAGCCCTTATGTGCGCGTCAGACAACGGCCACCTGCAGGTGGTGCAACTCCTGGTCGGAGCTCGTGCCGACATGGACCTGAAGAGCAAGAAGCAGAACACAGCGCTCATGTACGCGTCAGCAGGAGGCCACTACAGGGTTGTGGCTTGCTTGTTGGACGCTGGAGCCTGCAAGGACCTTAAGAACGCCCGGGGCCACACAGCTCTGATGCGTGCAGCGAAGGCAGGCCACGTCGCAGTTGCAAGCTTGCTGCAAGCTTGCGCTACAATTCCTCCCACGGCCGCTTGCGGCGCCACAGCCGGGCAGCATGAGGAGTGTTATGCGGCCATTCGACGCCGAGGGCGGCGGGCCTGTTGGGCATGTCGGGCATGCGAGGCAGCCGGGCTTGCAGATGTAGTGCGCTGCAGCCCGAAGCCCTAAACCCCAAATCGTCACGAACCCAAAGCCCCCAAACCCCGGAGGACTTAAACCCTTCGACATTGAAAATTGAATGCTGGCGGTGCTCGCGCTCGAGGGTCCGAGGGGCCTCAGGGCTTTTTGGGTGCAAGGTGTTTGAACTTATGTTTTGGAGTTTAGGGTTGAGGGGTTTTCTATTGGGGGGGGGGCATGTTATTAGGGTAGTTGTATTGTGGATAAGGTTCTGGACATAGTTATTGGTTATGATTTGGGGTCAGTGGTGTGAGGTGGGTTGATGAAACCCTAAACCCTAAACCCTAAACCCTAAACGCTAAACCCTAAACCTTAAACCCTAAACCCTAAACCCTAAACCCTAAACCCTAAACCCTAAACCTTAACCCCTAAACCCTCATGTCCAGCTTCCCCAACCCCGCTTTTGCGAGGAGGGGCCCTTCGACGTTATACTCGGCTTCTCGCAAGGCAAGGGGTGCGGAGAGATTGCTTGGGTCGGGCTCGGGGGTCCAAGGGTTCACGGGGTTCGCTATGAGGCCTGAGCCCTACACCCTGAACCCTGACCCCGAACCCCGAACCCGGAACCCTAAACCCTAAACCCTGAACCCTAAACCCTAAACCCTAAATCCTAAGCCCTAAGCCCTATCACCAGTAGTGCAGAAGCAGCAGTGATTCTATGGTAGCATGACATTGCCGGTCCCGCTCATTTTGAGCCTTACTTTCTGTATAGTGTAAAGAAGGGTTTGCTAGTGCAACCCTAAACCCTACACGTAACACTCCCGCTTCAAGAGGCTGCATCATGATGCATTACCTCGTGGGGCACCTACGGAAACAAGGCCCGGCTTTGGCGGAGAGGTTTTCAGAGGTTTGGGGATTAGGTTTAGGGTTTAGGGTTTGGGGTTTAGGGTTTAGGGTTTAGGGTTTGGGGTTTGGGGTTTAGGGTTGTTCCGGGATTAGGGTATTAGGGTTTAGGGTGTACTAGGTGTAGGGGCTTAGGGGCTTGCGGGGTGTAAGGTTGGCGGTTCAACACCTGCGCTTAAGAGCATCAGGGGAAAACCCTCACATGCTCCGGCCCAACTTATTCGTGGGACACCAACACCGCAACAAGCCCTGTGTGCCCCCAAAGCTTCAACGGGTTTGAGGTTTATAGGGTGCGGAGGGATCTTTACCAACAGTCTGTAGCCCTACGCCGCCTACAGCCAAGCCCAACAACCCTGCATCCTCCAAAGGTACAAGGGGGTCCAGAAACCCCATCAGTTTAGTTTAGCTCAACCCGAAAGCCCCTTGAGGTTCCCAGGCTATCCCTAAGCCCTACACCCTAAACCCTAAGTCCTAAGTCCTAAGTCCACCCTAAACCCTAAACCCTAAACCCTAAACCCTAAACCCTAAACCCTAAACCCTAAACCCTAAACCCTAAACCCTAAACCCTAAACCCTAAACCCTAAACCCTACCCTACCCTATACCCTAAACCCTAAACCCTAAACCCTAAACCCTAAACCCTATACCCTATACCCTATACCCTAAACCCTAAACCCTAAACCCTTAACCCTAAACCCTAAACCCTAAACCCTAAACCCTAAAGCCCGCCCAAACCAGCTGTGTGCAAGGGGAACCCGTGCCATGCAAGCTGCTCCTGTTCTTCGAAGGCCACAGTTTCCAGGGTGTAGGGTTTAGGGCTCTAAACCGCAAAGCCTGAAGCCTAAAGCCTAAAGCCTGAAGCCTAAACCCTAAACCCTAAACCCTAAACCCTAAACCCTCAACCCTCAACCCTAAACCCTAAACCCTCAACCCTCAACCCTCAACCCTCAACCCTACCCTAAACCCTAAACCCTGAACCGAAAGAGTGCTAGGTTTAGAGTCTGGAGTTTAGGGTGTCTCGGTCTCAGGGTGTTAGGATCCCAACCGGCTGGAAAGCCCGAAATCTCTTGAGAGCTTGACCTCAATCCTCAAGCCTAGTAAACCCTTACCCCCTAAGCCTTGGAGATTTAGGGGTCTATAGAGGTTGAGGCTTCAAGAGTTTCGAAGGTTTAAGGGTGAAGGGCTTGAGGGTTTTAGGGCTTTAAGGGCTTGGGGCTTTCAGGGCTTTAATGGCTGCAAGAGCTTTAAGGTCTTTAAGGGCTTTAAGGGCCTTAAGGGCTTCTCTCTGCAAGGCATGCACATCCGCGATTGGAGATATGTGGAGCTGTTTGAGACGCCTGTGGCGCATCCGAGCATCCATGTCTTCGGCGAGAACCTCGGCGGAGATGTTGCCATGGCCGAGCCCTTGAACCCTCAACCCCTAAACCCTACTCTATAACCCTAAACCCCAAACCCCAAACCCGAAGCCCCAAGCCCTAAACCCTACTCTCTGGGTCCTAGGATTCTATATAAACGAGCCAGTTTCAAAATTCTACTGAGCCATGTACACATGTTTTTGAATACGCAAGGCCAATGCCAAAGAGAGCACAAAAGGTGCTCAAGTTGGCTTGAGGGCTATAGGGTTTGGGTTTAGGCTTTGGGGTGTTATACAGGGCTTAGGGTTGGTTCGCGTTTAGGGTTACAGGCGCTTGTTCCCTTTTGTTAGGGTCCCCTGATAAGCCCCTCTGCACCAAAAAAGGGCACCGTTACTCTTGGAATCGTGTAGGGGCGAATCCTTTTTTTGGTGAGAAGCCATCGTGAAGACTCGCAATACCAGACCTCCGCCCTCCTTCGCGGCTTTAAGCCTCTAAAGCCCTGTAGCGCCTTAACTCCTAAAACGTTACAACCAGGCCTTAAGAGTTACGAGTTCAGGATTTCGGGCACCGCAACCCTAAACCCTGAACCCTCTGAGCCCTAAATCGTGAGAATCCTAAGCCCGTCTAAGGAAGTCGCCTTACTACTCCTACGCGCGCGAGGGCCGATGCAGCTCGAAGCGTGTGGAGGACGTTTGGAGTTCTGAACCTCCGACGGGTTAGGGGGTGGGGGTTTAGGAGGTTTTAAGGACCCCAAACCCCAAGCCCAGACCCCCACCTATGTACACCCTAAGCCCCCTAAACCACCTAACCCCACCCTATATAATTCCAAACCCTCGTAATGCCCCATAAACACTCTACACCCCCTAAACCCCTCAACCCTAAACCTATCTGAAGTCGCCACCTCTAAGATCCCAGAACCCCACAGCTGGCTTGGGGGCCGAGGTTTAGGGTTTAGGGTTTAGGGTTTAGGGTTTAGGGTTTAGGGTGGTGAAGTTGGGATTTAAGGTTTGAGGGACCCCTGCTCTTTTCCCCATGTTGGGGGGCGGTACTACTCCTTATGTACCCAAAAGCACGAGAATCCTCATACCCCCAAATTAGGCACCTCTAATCTTCAGAATCAGTCATGTTTGCTGTCTTTTGGCCTGGTTGCCTTTGGGGTGGTGGGCACAGAAACTGCCGACCGGACTGTGACCCCTAAGCCCTGAGCCCAAGCCCTCAGCTCTAAGCCCTTAAGCCCTAAGCCCTAAGCCCCGAGCCCTAAGCCCTAAACCCTAAGCACCAAACTCTAAACCCCTAAATTCTAAGCACCCTGAACTCTATACCCCTTATATAAATCGCCGCATTCTGCCCAGGACTACTACGAGAATATAAAGCCCTAAGCCCAAAGACAATATTGCGGCCCTCCAAATTGAGCCCATTTTGCCGCTCGACAAAGCCTTCCAAGCTTCCGAGCTACCACATTTTGAGGCTTCAGCTCGTATCCAGGGTTGTGGTGCATGCTAACTGCTCTGCAACAAGTCTTAGTCTTTGATTGAGGTAACGTATTCCATTTCAGCAACCATGTTTTCTGCCGTTGAGGTTGTTCGTGGCATCGCACCCAAAAGTTCTATGCTGGGTGGGCACATTGTTGCGGTCGAAAGGATCGGCTCAAGCACGAAGGTTCTCCTTCTAGACCATTCGGATGGACTCTGCGGATGAGATTCGCCAGGCGTATCCTTGGATGGCAAGACAGGTGCAGGTGTGCATAACACCTCGGAACGTCCTAGCCATCCAGCATACAAACCTCTGGTCGGTGCAGGATTTGCAATGGGCCATGGAGATTATCCTGCGCTTCATTGCTGACAACGAAACACCGTACATAAATACAAACCATGAGAGGGATGCAAGAACGACGGTAGCGGTTGTTGAAGTTCTCCGCGACTTACAGGAGAGAGCTGAGCAGCTCTTCAACGCTGGAGAGGGCTTCGAGGCGATGAACTACCTCAACGATTCTCGTGTGATTATTCGTGGAGATGAGACCGAGGTGTTGACGTGGGAGGAAAACATACATCTAAATCGGGACATCAATGTGATAATGTCGCCAGTGTCGGCCACTGCTTCTCTTTTATTCATGTCTTTGTTTGGAAACCCTATGGTTCCACAAGACTGTCGCCAGGAACTTGTGGCAATACGGGAACATACCATGAGACACTCAGTACTTGGCGCATGGTGCAGGAGGTCAATAACGTACCGAGTACCTGCAGGCTATGCTGTGCACGAGCGTGCTCCAGCCATCGCAGGTGCCTCGAGATTAGCCGTGGATTTATCGGGTTTGGTTCGAGCTGCTTTCGAAGTAATGGCCGTGCGCCAGCCATGACCTTCAAGCATCAGCTGTTGTGGCTCGGGAATGAAGCGAGCTAACACAACCGCATCAATGTGGCACGTGTTGAGGCATGCACGCAAGTCTGGCTTCATAACTCCCATGAAGCAGTGTTGAAACGAAAAAAGCCTGCCCCAAACCCTGAAGCCACCTAACCCCAAAACCCCCCTAGCCCCCCAAGACCCCAGCCCTCAACCTTCAACCCTAAACCCGCGGAAGCCGGAACCTCTCTGAGAACCCACCTAAGGTTCAGGGGCTTGTTTTCAGGCGAATTTGGGGGTTTAGGGAGGGTTTCCGTGTTCGTTTTTCCCTGACGTCTGCGAACGCGCCTTTCTCCGTTGGGGCGCAACTGTAGTAGGAGTACCCGGTTTTGTACCCCAGAGCACGATAATCCTTATACCCCAAAATAGTCATCGTCACAGTCATAGCTGCTGTCGTTTTTGCGGGGACATAATGCGGGGACGGCTATACCAGACACACCCCTAGGCCCGGCTTTAAGCAACTGTGGGTGCAAACCCTCAACCCCAAGCCCTAAGCCGGAGAAGCTTGAACCCTCAAGCTTTAAAACCCAAAACCTTTAAACCCCCAAACCCCGAGCTTCTTGCACAAACCCCGCGCTCTGTTTCAGGACTACTACGAGAACCCGCTTGTGCTGACCCACTCGGAGGGCCACAACTTTCCAACGCAGCCCCCGCGAAGCACTGAAATCTACGGCATTGCTTCTGGGCCATGATTCGCAACCCTCAGCCCTCTATACCCTATAAATCCCTAAAAACCCTGTAAACCCTATAGCCTTCTACAAACCCTCAACCCTATAAACCCTATAGACCCTACAAACCCTATAAGCCTAAACCCTATAAGCCTAAGCTGACTGCCTACTAGCGGCCCCGAAGCCGAGGCCTCTCCCCGAACTCTTGCGTCTAACGTCCTTGGCCCTCCGACCTTGGCCCATGCCCGGGAATAGGCTTTGAGGCCCGTCAACTCTTTTAGGGTTTTTTACGTCTTGGGCTGAGGTGCGGAGTTAGGGTTGAGGGTTTAGGGTTTCGGGCTTTGAGGCACCCTCAAATTTTTGAAGTCGGCGGCCCTTCATATCACTTCCAAAGCCCGTCAGGTTCGCGAGCAAATCTTGAAGCACACGTCTTCGGCCCAAGCTGACTTGTAGGCAGGCAGAAGCCTTCTGGCACGGTTTCGGGCTTCGAGTTCGGGGCGTTTTAGGGTTTAGGGTTTAGGGCTTATAGAAATTTTATAGGTGGGTCCCAAAAAGTTTTGAGCGAAGTGTTTTGAGCGAAATTTGTGAGCGAAAGTTTTGTTTTTAGATATTAGGGTTAAGTAAGTTGAGCATTTGGCCTCCGAGAGGTGCTTTGGATTACTTTACTTCAACTCGGCTTGTCAGCTGTTTAGACAAATATCTCGGGAAATTCAGACTGAGGCCTCATACAATTTCTGGTTATTTTGTCTTGAGGGTTTAGGTTTTAGGGTTTAGGGGCGCCGGTCTTTGGATCACTCGTGGGACTATATAGTCGTTTAGGGTTTTGTGTAGATTTGCCCATGTCCATCGCCGGTTCTCAGTACCCACAGCTGCGATTGAACCACTACAACTTGGGCCGCAGTGGCTTGCGAGAATTCCAATCGTTGAGGTAGCATGCCGTCCAAGGATCCCTGCTCCACATCACTTGCATTTTACTGCGCTTCACGCGATCTGACACGGAGCCCTTGTTGCAGGATCTTCGATCGCCACGTGCGTCTATGATCTCCAGTGCGAGTAGTCTTGGGCTAGATTCCCTCAGGCCCCGGACCATGATCAGTTCAGGGTTTAGGGTTTCGGGCATTCTATTTGCAGCACCCTTTTCAGTTCGTTCGAGGGAACTGCCTGAGCCAGCCCTGAACCCAAAACCCTAAACCCTGCACCCTAGTCGTATGTTGCTGTGCCCTTTACGCGCGGACGAGCCTTTCGCGGGTAAACCCTAAACCCTAAACCCTAAACCCTAAACCCTAAACCCTAAACCCTAAACCCTAAACCCTAAACCCTAAACCCTAAACCCTAAACCCTAAACCCTAAACCCTAAACCAGACCCTAAACCCTAAACCCTAAACCCTAAACCCTAAACCTTAAACCTTAAACCCTAAACCCTAAACCCTAAACCCTAAACCCCAAACCCTAAACCCTAAACCCTAAACCCTAAACCCTAAACCCTAAACCTCTCTTTCTATATATATATATATATGAGCCTGAGACCTTTAGGGTTCTTTTGGCTTAGTTTTTACATAGCCACTTAAAAAAGTAAAGCAAAACTAAAAAAAAATATATGGAACGATATATGAGCGCGTCCACCACGTTCTTTTGCATCGCTCCAAGAAGTCGTTTTATGCAATGGCTGAAGAGATGGCACTGCATGTATGCATACAGCCGTTTAAGGCTACAGAAGGGCCCTCTGAACCATAAACCCTAAACTCTAAACTCTAAACCCACGAAGGCCTTGTATCACTACACACGTTCCACGCGAAAAAAACAGAGCGTAAGGAGTGTGAAAGGGGTGTAAGGGGTGTAAGGGGTGTTAGGGGTGTTAGGGGTGGAAGGGGTGGAAGGGGTGGAAGGGGTGGAAGGGGTGGAAGGGGTGTAAGGGGTGTAAGGGGTGTAAGGGGTGTAAGGCGTGTAAGGGGTGCAAGGGGTGCAAGGGGTGTAAGGGGTAATACCGTACCGCACCGTATCGGAAAGAACAATACTTCCAATACATATTCGGAAGTAAAACCAAGAAGTATAGTATCGTACCGTCTCGGTTCACGACAGCCATGTTTAACGTATTGCTTTTGTTTGGCCTGATGTTTTTTGTTGCCTGTCCTTAACAATAGAATAGAACAAGGGCTTTTTTGTAAACCTTACTGCGTTATCAACATCGAAATGAAAGGCTTTTTGTAAACTCTACTGTGTTCTCAACATCAAAAGTCAAACAGCTTTACGTAAACCATGGCGCGCCTGCAACGTTCAAACCTAGTTTTTTTAAACCGTATAGTGTGTGTGTGTGTGCGCAACTTCAAAATCGAACTGTTTTGTTGTAAACCTTGGTGTGCCCTCAGCAGTAAAAATATTTTTTGTTATTAACCTTACTGTGTTATTAACATCGGCACTAACGGTTTTTGTAATCCCTACTGTGTTCTCAAAATCAAAGTCGAGAAGTTTTGTGAAAACCATGATGCGCCTGCAACGTCAAAAGAGAAAATTTGTTTGTAAATCCGACAGTGTGTGCGCAGCTTTAAAACAACGAAAGGTTACGTTTTTTGATGAACACGGGTATGTCCTCAGCACCAACAACGAAATTTTCTAGTTCTCGGCATAATACGCGGTTGTTTTGCTGATTCGCGCGTTCGGGCGTCACACGTGTAGTTTTGCTTTTTGCTGTGTTCTGGCTTAATATGTGCTTTCCTTGCTTATTGGTGCGCCTTGGTTTAATGAATGTGTAGTTGTTTTGCTATGTGCAGCACCTTGACCGAATGTGTTGTTGTTTAGCTTATTGGTGCATCTGTGTGGTTTTCTCTTGCTTATTGGTGCATCTTGGCTTAATGCGTAGTTGTTTGGCTGCAGGCTGCTTTTGAGGTTGATGTCTGGCGGTACTGTTGATTGGTGCTAATAGTTTTCTTTACGTATTAAAAGACCTATTGTAAAGGTTGAATATAAATATAAGAATACTGTGTACTGTGTATTTATACGTGGCTGACACTTTGAATCTTCTGCTAGCTTAGTGTTCATGTTTCAGATTTCTGATTTGGAAAATATGTGTTCCCTGCTGATTTTATGGAATGCTGTTCGTTCATATCTCCAACAAGCCACAGAATTCTCTACATCATTAGATTCTATAAATAAATGTACTTGGTTCTGTGAACTATCATTGATTTCATATGCATTTGCTTATGGATTTGATGGCGCTCCACTCGTGCATAGGTGGCACGAGCCACACATTCTCTACACCAAGAATTTCTATGAAAAACATGATTGGTTCTTCAAAACCTCATTGATGTCATATGTGGTGGCTTGTGGATTTGATCGCGATCCACTCATTCATAGGTGGCACGGGCCACAGAATTCTATACACCAAAAAATCTATAACTAACTTGATGGGTTCTTCAAACACTCATTGGTTCATATGGGTTTGCTTATTGACGTTATGATGTTCGGCTCATTCATATGCGCCAGGATCCACAGAAATCTCTACACCAGGGTATTCTATACATGAAATGACTGGTTCTTCGAACACTCGTTGATTTCATTCGTGTTTGCTTATTGACTTTGTGATGTTCGGGCTCATTCATATTGACAGCGGCCGAAGAATTCTCTACACCAGGATATTCTTTAAAAATGCTGATTGGTTCTTCAAACAATCATTGATTTCATATGTGTTTGCTTATTGACTTTTTGGCGTTCGGCTCATTCATATGTGGCAGGAGCCACAGAATTGATTCTCTACACCGGGATATTCTAGAAGTAACTTGACTGAGTTCTTCAAACAATCATTGATCTCATGTGCGTTTGCTTATGGATGGCGCTCCACTCTTTCATAGGTGGCACGAGCCGCAGAATTCTCTATGCCAGGGTATTCTATGCATAAACAGACGGGTTCTTCAAACAATCATTGGTTTCATATGTGTTTGCTTACTGACTTTATGATGTTGGGCTCATTCATATGTGGCAGGGGCCAGAGGGTTCTCTACACCAGGATGTTCTATAAAAAAACATTGGTTCTTGAAACACTCAGTGATTTCATACGTGCTTGCTTATTGACTTTAAGGTGTTCGGCTACAAGCTTTCCAGTACAAACTTTAAGCTTTAGACCATGTACTGCAATATACCAGACACTATGCTGCATACGATACTGTATACAATACTACATTCTATAGTAGACACTATAGAGATAGTACTATAGTGTAGTACGATATACTATACTAGACATTTTTCGATATTGTCTGTACTAGATTCTATACTATATGCTATACTCTACTCTATACTCTCCTATACTAGAAAACACCATAGTATATATACTACACTCATGTGTAGAGATTCAGGTGCAGCATAGAGGAATCGCAAGCGTCTGAGGCACCTATACCACCACCATCACCACCACCACTACTACTACTGCTACTATTACTACTACTGCTACTACTACAACTACTACTACTCCTGCTACTGCTACTATCACCACTACTACAACTACTACCACTACTACCACCACTACTACTACTACCACTACTACTACCACTACCACCATCACCACCACCACCACCACGACTACTACTACTACTACTACTACTACTACTACTACTACTACTAAAGGTACTGCTACTGCTACTCCTACTGCTACTGCTACTGCTACTACTACTACTACTACAACAACAACTACTACTACTACTACTACTACTACTATTACTACTACTACTACTACTGCTGCTGCTGCTGCTGCTGCTGCTGCTACTGCTACTCCTATTACTACTACTACTACTACTACTACTACTACTACTACTACTACTACTACTACTATTGCTCCTACTTCCTACTACCTACTACGCCCCACTAGTTACTAGGAGTGGGCGGGGGGTTGGTGGGTTGTGAGGCTGGGGCAAAGGAGCCACAGAATTCTCTACACCAGGGTATTCTATAAATAAAATGACTGGTTCTACAAACACTCATTGATTTCACATGTGTTTACTTATTGACTTTATGATGTTCGGCTCATTCACATGTGTCAGGGGCCGCAGAATTCTCTACAGCAGGGTATTCTACAAGTAAATTGACTGAGCTCTTCAAACAATCATTGATTTCGTATCAGGGGCCACAGGGTTCTCTACACCAGGATATTCTGCAAATAAAATCATTGGTTCTTGAAACACTCAGTGATTCCATACGTGTTTGCTTTTTGACTTTAAGGTGTTCGACTAAAAACTTTCCAGACTATATATATATATACTATAAACTGTAAGCTTTAGACTATGTACTGCAATATACCAGACACTATGCTGCATACGATACTATATACAATACTACACTCTATACTGGACACTAGAGTAAAGACAATACTACAGTGTGGGCTATATAGTTTTTACAATATACCGTACGATATACTATACTCTACTTTTTTACTATACTCTATACTCTCCTATACTAGTAAACACCAT